ACAACAACATATTCATGATGGATTCTTACAAAAATCTTAAGTGGCTGGTACTATTATTATTCCCACCTTATGCTGGAGGTGATGATGGAGAGGTGGTGAAGTGATGAGAATTTCCTGAGAACACAGCAAAGAGAGAGTCCAGATCCAAAGCCTGGTCTTTCAGATCACCCTTTTCTGCCTGACACCCTGCCTCCCGTGCTGCTCCCACTCCTGTGATGGAGCTCCTATTGTTGTTGCTTTTGTTGTTGTCACCATTTTGGGGATAAAGGAGTTGGAGCTGGAGAGGATGATGAATATCCATAGACAGAGGATTCACAGAAAGGATCTCAGTCTTACTATACTCTTAGGCCCCACTCCCAGCAATTACCAAACCCACAGGGCATTGTCCAGAACCACCTTGTGTCATGAGTTCCTTTGACAACTCTGTTCAGTGAGAACAGAGCTCAGTGTCAGTAGCTACCACACATCAGGAGCTTCCACAATCAGCAATAATCAAATCCTGGGCAAGTTCTGAAAGAATCAAAGACAGAAGCTGGAGGGATGGCTGCTAGACCTCATGTGCCGCACGTGGAAGGGAAGCCCACAGCAGCCTGCACCTCGGAAAGAAACCAGTTCGGCTGCACCCAGTGTGTCTCCAAGGAAATCTCAAGAGACAGACTCACCAGCAAATGTGATTCAACAGCATCTATTCACTGTTTACAGGGCACAGCATGCAGCGCCTAGAGCTGGACATAAACCAATGAATGAGGCCCAGCCCTGCCTTCAAGGGACCCCACAGGGATAGGAGGTAGATCGGAAGAGACTCCCTTAGCCAGAGCATGGAGTGTCCACTACTCCATGAGCCCAGGGAGAAAAGAGTGCAGCCACTTCGAGGGTCAGCAGGTCATCAGCCTGGTCACCACACTGATCCCAGAAGGACTGGGAAAACAGTGTCAGGGAGGGTGGCCTGGGGATAGCCTTGTGGACAGGGCCTGAAGTTGAGGAGAACCTTGTGAGCAAGGAAGCCTGCATGTCATCAGTGACCAGAGTGATGAGCACAGGCCAGTGGCTGCCTGTGGGTGACCAGGATGTGGGAGGAGAGAGTTTGGTCTGTGTGTGCCAAGGAATGGCTGGTCTTGAGACAATAGGGATATGTGATAACCTTCAGCTCACAGGGCCAGGCTAGGCTGCCTACATGCAAGCCCTGTGACAATGTCATCACAGAGGGGCCAGGATGCACAGAAGGCCAGCCTTTCCCAGCTGACAGCCCTCCATCAGTACCCACTTAGGTGAACTGAAACAGATTAAGTTGGACTCAACCATTTGGAGCCCCCTTTCTGTGCTCTCTCCAGCTCACCCAGTTGCTAGCTGTCCCAGGAGCTGGCAGAGGATGGCAGCACATGGTGGATGGACACATTTAATGAGTGGATAAAGCGGAGATGGCATCCACACTCCTCCTTGCCGGGGAAGGCAGGTCCTACAGAACATTTTTATGCTCTTGCATCGAGACACTGGGGGCCTGTTTGTCAAATTTATAGGGAATACAAAATTGGGAGGCAGAGCTAGTATGTTGATGACAGATCAAGGTGCTTAAATATTTCAACAGGATGGAATTAGCAAGCTCACAAGGGACTCATAGAGTCCTGGTACTATGGATATTTCAAGATCATCTTGTCCAAACCACTTATTTGACTAAAAATAAGGTCAGAGCATTTCCATGATCCAACTGAGTAGCTGTAGTAAGATGCCCTCCCCTGTCCTCCCCTGCAAGGCTCAGTAGCATCTGACACCCAACTTATCTCAGTTGGTTTCCTCTCCAGGGCAGGTGCTCTCTCCAAAGGCAGCATCTTCAACTACAATGGTCCCACCATGCTTCCTGGTCACCCAGCTCCAATCCCAGTCAGCTCTGCTCTCTCTTCCTCTCTCATTTTCTGCCTTCAGGCACTGGTCAAATAATTCTTCATTTCTACAGAGTATGATCATGTGAGTGGGAACATAACTATAGGTCACCATGCAAACCCCGTAATACTGAAAGTCCTTGTTGCACCATGTGGTCCAGCCCTGGAGCATCTATCAGATGTGGATATGTGTGTGTGACCAGTGAACCAATGCCCTGCTAGAGGGTAAACCTGACTAAGGGAGGGAGGTCTCCTTGTTCAGGTCACAGACCCCTCACCCAGTGCGTAGTGAAGAGCAGTGGACATTGTGCAGCACAGGCACGGGGGGGAGGAGTGGGGAAGGGAGGGAAGGAGGGAGAGGGGAGGGGAGGGAGGAAGTTAGAGGGAAGGGAGGTAAGGAAGGAGGAAGGTAGGGGAAAGGGAAGGAGAAAGAGAGGGGAGGGAGAGGGAAGGAGGGCAGAAAGGAGGGAAGGCAGGAGAGGGGAGGGGGAGG